TATTATCTCATTTTCTTTTATATTACCTCAAGGAACCCATTAGAGTTTTATAATTGGAAAATCTAGATCACATAAATCGGTTGTATACAATTCAAACTCTATCTTGGTAACCTTTTCAGATCTATTGCTTAAACCTGTATGGATTCTGCTTCATTACTGCGGGTATGTAGAATACCTGATCAGAGCATGACCTAGGAATATTAATTTAAATCTTAGATTTGAAAGGGTCAATTTGGGAACAATAATTAATTCATATCAGAAAAAATGAGAATAAAACCTTATTTTCATACTCAAATTATAAACGTACATCCCTATTAATTTGTGCATTTTCTAGGTTTCTATATGTTCAAAATTGTATATTTTATTTACTCATCCTCCCTTTTAAGCATTTTAAACCAAATGAGTTTTATTTTGGAGTTTAGCATGTCTATTATCACATTCCAGGTTTGGTCCACTTATCGTATGCCTATTCAGATGCAATCATTGATGTGACATGAGATTGCCTTTTCTCAAGACATCTTATTGAAGTTAGCGCCAAAACTGTCCTCTGTAAGCTTGACTTCAATTGGGTGTGTCACAAATTGCCTTTATCTGAAAATCTCAAATCATAGTAAAGTAGAACAATACTTCAATCTCAGTTACCCCTCCAATTTTCAGATTGAACTGTATAAGTGCAATTTTCCAGTCAAAGGATCAAAACACTGATTGTCCAGTGGCTTAGGAAGCCCTCTCGAAGTGAAAGGAACTATACAATGTTGTTTTTGGATTCCTTTTTTTTGGTTAGTTGGGTGTCTGACACACGCGGAAACCCATCACCATGTTTAAAACAGTATTTAAACTGAGAATTCCATGCAACCTATCTACACATGAAAATTCCAGAGAAATGTTCTCCCTGAAGAACAAATCCTGCTTACCTAATTCCGGAAAGTATTAGTTCCACACTAGTCTCAAAGCTAGTATCCAAGAGTTTCTGCACCTCATTGTTCCAAATAGACATTCGGACTTGTGAACAATAATCAATCTCAGATGGCATGTTCAGGTTGCTGCTTATTCAGTCGTTGACTCAGTATTGACTGGATTCTCTGCAATTCTTGATTTTTACATACAAGAGGAAATAACAGCATATGGAGTACCAGATTCAGATTTAACTGACGTTATTTATACTTTATTTGGTGGTATTTTTGGCTGCAGAATACATCTTAGTTCTTTCATCTCCTGTTCTACTTCTGATCCTTGGTGGATTATCATAAGAAGGTTCCTTGTGATGGGACAGAAAATTCAGTTGCTAGTTATTTGTGGTCTCCTTAAGAACAAATGCTAAGAAAGCCATTTTTTAAGAAAGAAAGTATGAAATGAGGAAATGCAGTTAGGTTGATTGAGCCATATCCGTATATCGAGCTTTTTCTTTCCATTGATTACTCTCTTTTCAATAGATCATGTACAATGTGCACTGTCATAGAAGAACATTTTTAATTTCCTATGGGAGGTAACTATGCTCACATTCTTTCAAGATGATAAAACTGCAAAATCTTTCCCTGATCTCCAAACATAATCAACTCAAACTCTGGGATATCAACCTACAATCTATGTTGTACAACCCTGAGAAATTGTGATCCAGGGATGATATATTCCCAGGAGAGTACCGACAAGACTGGTCTTGAGTATTTAATCACCCTTGTACAGAATATATGTATCCCTACAACTTTCAATCCCATTCTCAACCCCAGGTTTTAAAAGGAATGTAATCAACACAGAACTGGTGGATTTTAATGGGAGTCTACACTTGTGTACATATAGAAATATAATACACACAACACTCTATGCCAAATACATTTTTCATGTCTGGAATTATAGTCTAAATCAGTTAACCTGCAAACCTCTATGTTATATGCTTTTCTGCATTTTAAAGTCCTAGATTGTGTCCATCTCAATAATTTTTTGACCAATGAAAAATAATTAAATCTGCATGCCTCTGATAATTTATAATGTTATGTCCCAGAATCATCCTCATCACTTCTCTGTACTCCTTCAATACATCAATGTTCTTTTGAAGGTAGGCTACTCAAATCTGTCCACAATAGTTGAAATGTGGTTCTATCAATGAGTTAGACAGGTTAATCTGCTTTGATTACAATCAGTTGCTCTCAAGTTTAATCTTACTTTTTTTATTTGCTCCATTGATGATAGCCAGCATGTTGACTGCATGTGCTCAGTTATAATCCAAAATCCTTCCGATCTAAATCACTTTTGCCATCTTTGCCAATGGATACCCACCATTATGTGCACGCTTCCCGTTTCTTGCATTATTATGTACTGCATTTCATTTGCCCAAATTAAATTTCAGCCCATCTTTAGCTATCCACTTTGTTTGTCCAAATTCCTTCAAATGAGATCAAACTTCTCTATATTCGTCATCTGGCCACACAGTTTGATGTCATCCACACATTGCGCAATACAGCTAAATGTATCCTCCTTGATCAGTATCACTTATGAATAGCTTGAGCAAGAGACACATAATTGGTCCTGTGGTACACTATTTTGTCTATAGCTTTGTCTATTAAGTTACTTACCTATTCCAAGAAGTTCAGCAGATTCAGGAAGCCTGATCTATTCCTTCTAGAAATGTGTTGATTTTTCTATAGAGGCACATTGGTAAGATTCTGTAAAATGCTATTGAGCATTTCCCCCCAGATAGATTAAAACATCTATAATTTCATCATGTAAATATTCCCTTTGAACATCAAAATTAAAGTATATGTTCTGTATTCATTTAACAAAGGAGCGATAAACCATTTGGTCCACAGAGGACCATTGAGCCCGTTAAGCTTATTGATACTATCAAAACCTACCTTTCCATTATTCCCTCGCCACTTCTGAAAACAGTCCTCAAAACACTTCCCACAATTCTTCAGTCCTCTCTCTCGTCAGTCCTGTCATTTTCTTGGCACAAGCTGAATGGAACTTATCAGTATCCGTACCAGACTATGGCTTGAGAAACAGCTAATTTCCAATTATGAAAATGTAACTACTCTTAGTAAATCCTTGCACACCAAGAGGCAGTAAATTCCTGATGAAATGCCCTGTCAGTGAAAGAAGAAATAATATAATTCTCTTTTCTCTCTGTGCTACTGCATAATCTTAGATTGGTGAATTCACAGCAGCAAGTTTAACTCATTTTGAACAGTATATTTCATTATAATCTTAATTGATGTAGTAAATTGTCTAGCATTTCATTTAATGCTCTTGCCATGTACTGTTTACTCTCCAGTTGTAGCATGTTAGACCATTAGGTCATGCACTAAAAATGGTGTAATTATGTCCACCTTGAGGCTATAGTCAACATTAATCATTACCTTCATTATCATTAAAAGCTTGGATAAGATGAAAGGGAATTTCTGCTTACACTTGTTAGGAGTGGTCATTTTTACATTCCAACTGAAAATGCATTTAAAATGAGTTCTCATCTGTGTTATTTATATATACTCAGATTGAAACATCTACATATAACCTTTGGTTACATAAAGCATATAATTTCAGGGCACGGTGATCAGCTTGTTCCTCACCTTAGGTAATATGGTAATTATAATATTCAGAGTGTCTAATCTCCCATTACCTCTGCTCCCTAATAATAAGGACTACAGGCACCAAATGGCCTAGATTTCCACTGGGTTGTGGTTGCCTATTAGGTTTCTCCAACCATTATATTGCAATAATTCCCTTAGATAGCAACTTAGCATTTATCTACAGTGCTTTAAAACTCTCTATTGTCCCCCTCCAACTATTGTACACAATTTTTCTTAAAAGTCCCCTGGCTTTAAAGTTATTCAACCATAATCATTGCAAATGATGTAAACTTGCCATCTCTCCTTCCTAGCTTTAGTTTGGCTTATCCTTTCCAGTTCTACCCGAGAATCTGTCTTATTTTTCTGCTGATCCACAATTTATTTTGGACCTGTATGCAAGCTTTTACAGCTTGTACCTATGCTGAGACATTGGGTATACCATTTCCTTGCTTGTTTGATCAGCACTGATTAGCTACTTTTACATCTTCATCCTCCTATTGCATTGAAAAATTGTCATTGCACCAGAATTACCTGTCTATTTGCACCCTGGCTTACTTATCCGTACACAAATCATCTCTGTCAGAAGATGTGCCATTCAAAATAAAATACAAAAACTAGCACCTAAATAATAAATTTTAGTGATTTCACAAAATCAACCATTAATCCTTCATGTATCCGAAAAATTCCGCCTATTTTTAACCCGACATAAGATGGCAATTTTGAGGTAACATTGCAGAAACTCATGCAGGATTTACAAGAACTTACACATTTCACTAACTATTTAAAAAAAAATGAACACTGCACTTTTACTATTGGGAATGCATTCTAGTCCAATGCGAAAACCATGTGTTAGTAAGTTTCTTTCATCGTTTCATTAGATCCTTCCAGACAGGTTTACTTAATTAAATTAAAGGAATTTTTCTTTAGCTGCTCTCCAATTTGATCTAGCTTCCGCATCATTCTATTCTTGGATATGGAATTCTTACTGCTCATGGACACAGTTACAGAACTAGACTTCTGCTTCTGCCCAGGTGTAAACAGTGGCAGGAAAATCCCATCTAGCAACTTGTACATTGATCCAATAGCACAGAATGCATATGAATCAACTACCAATCTGAATTGAATTTTACTGAATACCTGACCTGAGCATAGAATAAAGATTCAAACATAGAATAAAGATTCAAACATGGGGGGGGGGGGGGGGGGGGGGGAGAGGAGCTTTTTATACTACTAGTCTCCATCTGAATCATGGCCCATTTACAGATCCTCGTCAGAGTGAAATCACAGGTACCACTCTATTTCCTGTATAAATACCATCTACATCTCATAATTGGATAACATATCTGGGATCATATCACTGTTGAAAACATTGAATGGTTGAAGGTTGAGGTGACACAGAAACTAATATTTTGACATGGGTTGGAGTCATATTATATGTGTGGTGTTAATTTTTAATGAAACAAGAAATAATTCACACACAAATCCTTTCACAGACCAGTCAATCATTTTTATAACACACATAGAAGATCCATGCAAAAAAAAATCAGGTATTTTAGGAATATTTCTAAAAATATTCTTGCATTTGATTTGGATGCATCAGTGTTGGTCCGTAATCTACCTCCTAATCTACCTCCTACCAAAACACTGATGGCTGGTAGCAGATTATCCAGATCAGATGGCATTAATTCAATGCTGTGTAAAGACAAAAGGTAAATTAAGTGAAAATGCTTCTGAAATGAATCAGTGCTAATCTGATATAATGTTGTAGGCAATCAAGTGTTAAGTGTAAAGATTGTAACACGTCTTTGGATTATAACACTCAAATCAATTTTAAGTGCAATATATTTTTTAACATTTTATGTTAAGTAGCATAACCAGTGAAGCAAACCTCTGGTTCAATTTTCACATCTCAAAAAATATTTCAAAAATACAAATTTTAAATAAAATAAATGTTTGTAGGAAACCAGTTTCATAATGCAACACATCACAAAATCAACACATTCCTGTGCTTCAATGAGCCAAGACTGTCGTTGATGCCGAAATATCACCTTTGTGCAAGATGCACATTACAGGAACATTTGTATTGACTGACATCAACGCCGGCTCCTTCTTCTCCTATTGGGATGTTCCATCAACAGGAGCAGCTGAAATTTAAAAGAATATAAGTAACGAATTTGTCAAATATTGTATCCCATAAATTATAAATATTACACAATGTTGCAAAGCTTTTAATACGTTTGCTGTACTTTGTGACCTGTATTTTCTAGATTAGATTCATAGAAATCTACAGTGCAGAAGGAGGCGATTCAGCCCGTTGAGTCTCACAGCTCAGAGCTAGGAGACCAATTCAATTTGAAAGCCCACCCTACTTGGCAGGCAGTCCATATTCCAACAACGAACTAAGTGAAAAAATTATCCTATCCAATTCCATATGGATGAATAGGCTCAATAAATTGTGAGGGGTTTGACAGAAACAAAGCTTAACGGGGGAATCTAATAGAGCTCTTCAAAGTTCACTCTGAAATATTTTGAGGCTAAACAGTGAAGGTTGATTCCTTCTGGTTGGCAAAGTGGTAACAAGTGAGCACAAGATCAGGACTGTCATTGGAAGATTAAAGATGAGGTTAGATGATTTCTTTTTACACATTCTGTTTATTGGAAGTTGGAATGCTTTGCCCCTAGTTGTTATTCTCCACTAATGGTGGGTGGGGAGGAGGCTGTTCTTTCTCTTACTTTCGTCTCCAAATCAATGATCTCCAACAACATTCATCAGCCTTACCTGCTCTATTGCTGATGGTTCCAGACTACATTTATCAAATGGCCAGCAGATCATATCCCTCAGTGCACACAATCTTCATTCCTCAGCCAATGCTATAGATGACATTCATACTTTGATCTCATCCATGACCAATGATGGGCAATAGAAATCTCATGTCTTTCAATCATTTAAAGATTTAGGAGTAGAAATTCCACCTGGGTGTGGAATATATATATAGCTGGAATGGAACTCAGCAAAATCGAATGCCAATTTACCTACATGGATTGAATGTAAGAAATTTCTATCCTAAATTTTAAATTCAAATACATAAAATGATTTTACAGATTTAAGATTTTTTTTGGAGATTATGCTTGGGAGGTGTTTTGATTCTAGTTGTGTGAAGTATAGATTTAATTGTGATATGGCATGTAGTCTTCATATTTCTTTGGGACTACCAATATTGTGTGCTGAGAACACATTTTAATCCATGATTTGACGTATCACGTCATGAATTTTGAAAATCAAGCCTCTTCTACAAAACGTTAAGACAACCTTAGAAAAATTTCTTTTCACCTCCCTTAAACAAATGTACTGTATATTTTGTGCCAACATCTTTAATTTACATCTTATGTCTTTCCATTCTCAGGCATGTACAAATTCAATTCCCTCCTACACATCTAACCACTCAATGAACCAATTATTCTGCTCATTCGTTCCAACATATATGGCACTACCTTCTCATTCTTTACTTTAAATATGATAACTGATCCCATTTATTCTCTCTTTAATTCTGAAATCTAGGACTGTAGTATTATTCAATTTAGCATGCAATACCACAACTGGATCTATTCCCTCCCCGGTTGGCAGTTCTCAATCCCTTTATTTGATATATCTTACGCTTGTTTCTTCCACTGAATAGATTACACTAACACAATAGCTGTCTACAAGGAACAATATACATACCAGTTGAGGTTGCAGACTGCTGTGTCGTTGCTGGAGAACTGAAACTTAAACCTCCAAGACCAGTCGCTGCTGGACTTGACAATCTAAAATCAGAAGAAATATTTAATTCCTTAGTCATCACATTTGAATTTGGAACAGCGAGATCGAGATTTCATAGAATTACATAGAATCTACAGCACCCAAACACGCCATTCAACCCAACCAGTTCACGGTGAGGATTTATACTCCACATGAGCTTTCACCCATTTTAATCCCCTCTCCCTAGCCGCCACCTTAAAACCCTATATTCTCTTCGTGTATTACACGTTTAAATAAAAGCTTTAAACTCCCTACCACACAAGAAAAAATTTAATTTTTAAAGACAGATAATGAGTCTTCATTGAATAATAACATATCAACTGGGAGAGTCATAGAGATAAGTAATGAGCCTTCATGAATCCAGAGATTAGTGGATAGTCATCCAGGTATATATTATATTTATAATATATACATATAATATATAAGAAAACAATGGACACAAACTGAGCTCAGTTTAAAACCAAAGGTAAGAAAATGTTGCAGGCACCTCAAGCTTGGGAGTACAGGAATGAGAGGGCCCAAATTTAAGAAAACAACCAAAAGAATTAAATGGGGAGATTAGAAATTGTTTTGGAGTGTGGTCTTTGACGTCCTCCCGATGTGAACAAATATAATTTTGTTGTTGTTAGTCAAGGACTGGATATAAAGTTAGAAGCAGAGTTTCAGGTGACTGCTCCAGAGTATGATATAGGGGAACATTTATTTCCATTAGCCATAGGTATGGAGTTAAGAAAAACTGTAAAAGCTAATATCTGTTGCACAGAAATTAAGTGAGACTACTGTAATTAAACTCAACCTTAGTCTGGTCTGGAAGCTCCATACAATGGGGTCTATACTTTCATCCCCCAAAATACTGCAATGAACTTTTCTATTAGATTTTTGCAACAGCATATCCATTTTCAAAGACTCAGTGGAAACACTGGTGATTTGTCAAGTTCAGGGAAATTTAGACCCATCTAGTTACGAATTATCACAGAGGAAACATTTCTTCATTCCAACATGCAGAAAACCTGAAAAATAAATTTCTATACAGATGACTTACTTTTCCTCATGTGTTTTGTGATTGAACTAAAACACAAAACGTGACTGGATCAGGAAAGTTCTTATTAATCTATGGAAATCATTAACCTATGGAAACATTATGCAGTGCAGCATGTAAATTAACATTCCTAATTGTACTGTACTCTTCTTGGAAAATTGTTCATTGATTTTGTTAATGTGTTGAAGTATATTGTATTATTATTCATGTTAAGATATATTTTCAACATGAAATCACTGAATGTGGGTTAATCACATATGAGGAGGTAACTGAGTGCAGTACCTGCTTTCTTCTCCCTCAAGAAGACCATGGTAAGCTCCAATCTCCATTTCCAGTCTCATTTTGTTATTTACGATGGCCTCATAGTCATCCTGCTGCTGTTCAACATCACTGTGAATCTCGGAAAGTTCAGCTTTCAATTTGGAGATGACAGCACCTAGATTCTGAAGTTCAATCTGATACCAGTGTTTTGTGTCATTCAAGGAATTCTCCAACCCCCTTTTCTGTAAAGATAACAAAAAGACCTGAAATTCAGTGTTTGATCTGACAATGAAATCTTTAAAAAGATTCTCACATTCAGAAAGGTGGTGTTCATTGTGGTACAATTTACCAAATTCTGGATGCTCTAACATGTTACATAATGAGCGTATCTAGAACGTATCTTCTCTTCAACTGTGCCTTCAGCTCCGCTCTCGACTCTCTACCCCCTCCTCACTCCCTCCCTTCCCTCCCCTCATCCTGACCATTTCCCCCTTGCTCAGGTCCCGACCCAACTGTTCAGCACCTTGGGACGTCCTCCCGACGTGAAAGGCGCTCTATAAATGCAATCCTGTTGTTGTTGTAGATGCAGATGGGGTCTTTTCCCCACGCTCAGATTTGTAATGGTTCAGGGAGACTTTCTCTTAACAGTTTGTAAATGTACTATTTACCAGAGCTCTCAGCGATTCAGTTTCTGCTTGAAGACTCTGTACTTTACTTCCCACGTCATTGAACTCTGCTCTCAGTGCTTCTACTGCTTCCTCTTCTTGGCTCAGTTTGGCTGTCACCACTTCAGACTGTTGAATAATAGTCAAATAAATACATGTTTAAAACAAATCAGAATCGACTCGGAATAACCTTTTTAATTTTGGGCTGTCCAATACAAACAATTTTAAAAGCCTGAAATATTCGTTTTTTTTATCAAGGGGAGGAACATTATAGGCACATGCTTCGTATTGCAACCACATTTCAAATAACTACAGCTTGATCACAAATAGTGCTCGGTCAGCAACAAAAACAATAATATGCTTTCAAACAGTATTGTACAAACAGGCATTGAACAAAACAGAACTTTCAGCTGAAATACACCACCCAGGAATCAGCAATTTCTCACTAAAATAAAACAGATGGTGCAATTAACCTCACTATTTATAAGAATAGCTCAGCATTTTAAATGGACATTGTGTTGAGGGGAAAGTGTTAAACAAACCTTTGTTTTTGATAGGGAGTGTGAAGGGAGGGGGGACATCAGAAGAGCACTGTCTTGTTTAAGCGCTCCAAAATGCTGCCCTGTGTAAAATGCGCTTTAAAATGCAAGTTGTTGTCATTATTTATAGCATTGTCATTGCATCATCATCACTTTACCAATTTTCACAGAATGTAAAAGTCAATTGGTAAATGATTTTCTCCCAAATTTTATTGAAAAAAATCAGTAGATTTATTTTTGGTGTCCAGCATGATGCAAACGCTGAATTGTGAATCCAGTTGCATAAATGTGCAAGGTTGCACACATAGTTATTTGGAAAACAATATACAATATTATATAATCATCCATTGCGTATAAGTGTGCAACTTTGCAAATGAGCACAACTCAACTAGATTTTTTTTTAAAAAAGGTGCAAGAAGGTAAGTATAACATTTAGTATATTATAGAGTTAGAGATGGAGATAGAAAAAGTCATAGAAAAAGACAGAAAATTAGTGATTCAAAGAGAATCTCGGAGCTTATACAAAACGCAGTTCAAGAAATTAAGCAATAATGTGGCATAACCAGATGCATTTAGAACACATCACCTTTGACGATGCACAGCTATCATAGGAGATCCTGTAAGCACAAAGCTTAGCAGAATTTTTACCCAAATGTTCAGCTATATTGCAGATGTTTTTAACTGAAAACAGCAAATTGCACACAAATCGGTTCAAAATGATGGTTTGTTTGCTGCGTAGAAACAAGTTTCTAGATTGCAGTGGGCAGTGAAAAGACTTTAGAACCAATGACAGAGCAGTATTTACAATTGTGAGTAAGAGCCGCTAATACCCATCAGCTGCACACACTGCCAATCCTGAATAGCACAATGCTCACTCACAGTGGTGCAAATAAAAGTATCTAATGCGGTCATTGTCTGTTCTTCCTGTAACTCTTCGCTGAGCGAATAATCCAGCACATGTCAATAGCCAAAAGCTTTGCTAAAATAAAGCAGTGGTAAGAATGCAATCGAAAAATTATAAACCTGCTGAACACACCAAAAATGTTAACCCTCAAAACTAAAACCAAATTAGGAAACCTGTCACTGAACACTGCCAATCTTAGGTATACTGTACTTGTGTTAATTTCTTTCTAAACTTTCTAAATCAGTTTTCCAATAACTCTTATACACTGTTTTTAAATTGTTCCTATTTCAATTAGTTATATTCTCAATTCACAGGTACATTTTACAAGCTACCTTGCTGACCAGAGCATAATTTCATTTTTTTCTCTCCAATTTTATCCTTTCCTTTTTTCCTCTCCTGAAGGTGTTTGATTCATTTTTCCTTGCACTGGGTTACGGTTCCATCTTTCAAAAAAAACAGTTGGTAGCAGTAAGGGAAGATTGTATTAAATGGTTGATCAGTCGACAAGATTTTATTACCAGATGTGCTTCGCATAGGGTGGAGGATGCTCATCTATCTTCTAAAGATTTTTTTAAAAAGAAAAAATGCCACTGCATTTTAGGTCTCTCCATATCTAATAATAGTTAATTCTCTCAAGATCACAAGATGGGTTTGGATGACGAAGGCCCTTTGGTCCATTTGGCCTTATTCTTCTAGAATACCTACCCTATCATTCTCCTGTCAAGCTGTTTTTTAAATGAGTTTAAATGAGTTCAGTGTCGTGGCTTCAACCATCATCTTTCTGGTAAACTGTTCTAGTTCTACAGTTCTCTCTGGGCAGAGAAATATTTCCTGATGCCTGTCCTGAAATTGTCCTTTCGCTGCTTTTTGTGAACTTGCTGGAAACAATGAGTTGTTATTAGATTCAAGAATGTAGCAACGCAAATACAATTTACACTTTGACCACTCATGCAAAAATATATTGAAACCAACCTTGTTGTCAAGCCATAAATCAGTTTCTGCACGATTTTTTTCAATCGTCTTTTCCCAGTGAGTTCGAACTGCTTCCAGGACGTGGTCCAGGCTGGTTTCCATGGGAGCATCAGTCTCCTCCACCTGAGAGTCAGCAAGCTGAAGGTACAGTGCTTTTACATCCTGTCACGATATACAAAGGAAACACACAATCTCACATAAAGTGGTTGTTACTTCCTCCTGGGATTTCAGGCCTTAAAAGAGGTGACGGAACTAATGGAGGTTTTCTCTACCCCAATTATTCCACCCTGAAGATATATTCTTCTCATCAGTCAAAGAACTGAATGGCAGCAAATTACTCAAATGAAATACTAAGATGATGCTAGAGTTCAGAAGCTTTAGCAGAGGACAAAAAAATACAGAATCTCAAAATATTTTACTGGAGCAGAGATTGTTGCGAGCAAACCTGACAGAAGTTATAAAAATTATGCTGGGCTTTAATAAGGTAAATAAGGATACATTATTTCCTTTGGTTGATGAGTCAGTAACTAGAGGGAATTAATTTAATATCATCAACATACAACAACAAAAGGTCAGTGAGGATTTTTTTTTACACACAGGAAATTAGGACGTGGAATTCCCTACCAAAAACAATAGTTCGGTTCAAGCAAAATCCATAATAATAATGATAGTAATAATCCTTATCACATCAGAAGGATGTCTCAAAGCGCTTCACAGGATTTTTGACTGTATATTTGTAGGCAAATGCGGAAGCCAGTTGCACACAGCATTGTCCCACAAACAGCTATGAAACGAGTGACCAATTTTCATTGTTGGCCAGGAAACCAGGAGAAACTCCTTTCTCTTTTTGAATAGTGCCATGGGATGTTTAATGTCCTCGCAGGGTAGATGGGACTTCGGTTTATCGTCTCATCCTCAGGACGATCCCTCCAATAATGCAATAATCGCCAGCAATGCCTGGGAATGTCATCTTAGGCTGTGACTTCAAGTAATAATAATAGCTTTTAAAATATTGAAAAATAAAAATATATAGAGGTGTAGGTAAAAGGGAATGGGTTTCCAGCGAGCTGGCACAGGAAAGGAAAAATGGCCTCCTTATGTGCTATAAAAGATTATGATTCCATAATATAATTGACACAATAAATACAACCAGGTAAACATTCTGTTGTATGTAACACGCAATGTAACACGCAACCCTTCACTGTGGATTATAATGGGAAATCTATTAGTGCCCAATATCACAAAAGTCAATGTGTATAACACTCAAAACAATTATATTTCCAGTATTTAGTTATATGAAAAGCTACATCACTGTCTGTCAACACATAATAATAATAATCCCTCTGTACTGCTTGAGATTCAAGAATTAATTTGAAAGCTAATCCATCCTTTAATAGCAGAAATCCTTTAATGAAACTCTCAAAACGAACTGACTGAGCCTTAATAGATTCTGGATTTACCACCAGTCCTTGACTCCTCAGAGATCAGGTGTTTGTAGCTGGTAGACCCTCACTCTCATCAAACAGCATCAAGATCCCATCTCCAGACTAACATGCAGACTGTAACAATTTCCAATCCTTCTGCAGGATGTGGACTGTGTCCACCATAAGTGGCCATGTCAGAATCATGCTCACCTCCCTGAAGGCATCTGTAGGTTGTTCTTTCATCTGGGTTGTAATTTGGCTCAGCCAGACACAATTGTCCCTAAACATACAACTTAACTGTGATTACATTCAATTAATAAATGGGTTTGGATTCTTCTGTCAAAAGATCACTAACCTTAGCTTCTTACCATTCATGTCGTGATATTTGCCTCAGTTTACTCAATGCTTTGCATGAAAGACAAGCAAAAGGCATTACAGAAAGCAGAATTTAGTATTGCATCAACCTACCTTCTCATGATTCTTTGTCAGGTAGGCAGTTTCTTCCTTCATATGTTCTATCTGACTCTCCAGCTCCATCTTAGCTATCTTAGCATCGTCCATCACTTTATAGAGTGAAGTGATCTCTTCTTCTACTGCTTGTCGGAATGGTTGCTCATTTTCGTATCTGAAGAAATGAGAACGTCAGAAAAATCTACCTGTGTCCAATCACTGGAATATTCACCTTGATGTGTAACAGCCACCATTCTTCAAACACAGGTTGGATTTCCCATCCTGGCTAAGCTTATAATGAGCTCCCAACAAAAGACAGAGCATTGCTAATATTCAACAATAACAACAACGGCAACTTTCATTTATATAGTGCCCTTCACTCCGGACTGCGTCTCAGAGCGCTAATATTGTGAGCTGCTTTCAGACAGAAACTGTGTGGTCTTTAACTGTGACTATAAAAATACTTCTTTACGAACAGCCTCAACATCCCTCTCCTCTACCTGCCCCTTAATTCAGTGGGCTCCAGCCTTCTGCACGTACCTCATCCCCTCTGCTCCAGAATCCGAAGCTGTATCTTCTGCCACTATTTCCTGAAACTATGGAACTCTCTCCTCAACTCTTCCACCTTGCCCCCTCCTTGCCCACCTTCCTCTGGCCCAACCTCCACCTAGCTCAGCATCAAGCTCCACCAAGCGCTCCAAGCTTGGATGAAGGGTGCTATATAAATGCAAGTTGTTGTTGTTATCTACAACTATAGGTTGTTATCCCAGAACACTCCTTTCCTGGTTTCATATTCAAACAGATCAAAAATTGACATCAATAACACAGGTAAGTCAATCTTTATGTTTTGGCAATCATATGACTGTAAACTGGGAATAGTTAGCTAAACTGAATCCAATTGTTTGTGTGTTGTTCCCACTTCTCCCACTTCCACAAAAGGAAAGTGAGATCTGCAAGATACAGAGCACAAGCCAAGTGAATTGCTTTTAATGTTAATTGTCAATAAAACAGTTGGAACATATTTTTTATTTGGTGGAAATAAAGTAAAACACAAATAAAGATGAGATACAGAAGGGAAGCAGAGAATGAAAAAAAGGAAGCTACGATGAGAATTACTTAAAATTTATTTAAATTTTTTTTGAAATGATTTATATTAGTTGTGTGTTAAATACAATAAATCTACTCCTGATATTTGAGTCCCTTTATTACTACAATATATACACATTAATGTTTGACTCAGTTCCAGATTAAATATTGTTTTAAAAAAAAGTTTGCCTAGGTAACCTGGAATTTCTCTGACCTGCCAACAGTTTAAGTGTTAATAAGAGTTCTTTGCTGTCATTTATAAACCATTCTTAAATCAGGAAGCCTTAATCTAGTGTTGAGGTACATATTTGATCATTCCAAACTTCACCCCAAACAGTGGCAAAATCACAAATTCTAATCACAGTTAAGAATATATTTGAATTCCCCAATGAAAGATCCTCCTTAAATTGATATTATAATGTGGAGCCCTACCCCTCATCATCAAACACACACCAACATGCATTTCTTCTCCAAATATCCTGGAGATCACAAATCATTTCAATTTCTTTATTGATGTTTACACGAGTTTCAATTAGCAGAACATTTTGATAGATGACCCAAATGTATATTGGGTTATATGTAACTCAATAGATCCTACGCATTTATCGTATTGTTCTAGTAAGGTGGTAAATTTCAAAATCATTTTAATATATAGGTAGATTAGAGATATGCAAGTGATAGAAACACGCTGGGAAGAGCAGTAAGGAAGATGTCTTAGGTGAAGAAAGGTATAGTTTCCCCACCAATTCTTGAAAAAGATATAACTTGTTCAGAGTTAGCTTTATTCTACTGTCATAAATTTGTAGATAAGGTTTATTGAGTAATAACACTCACTAGTATGTGTGCCTTTGGTCTTCCAAGTGGATTCAAAAGACCCAGGCACCAACACAACATCCAATCTTATCCTGGGATCACCCAGGGCTCAGCTTCAGAGGTGAAGACTGGAATTCACAAACAGAAATAACTTGAACTTGAAAATTCCACAGAATAATTCATACTCTGAACACACTTCAGGAGGTCAACTGAAAGGGCGAGCACTGGTCTTTTAAATCCTACAGATCAGCCTGTAAAACAGTGCTAGTGTGAATCAAGAATAAATTGTACATATGAAAGTAAAGAAAGAACTTGCAATGGCACTAATGGAAACAAGCTGAGCATTAACTACTGTTAACTGTAGTGAATGTTTCTGTAAGTATGTAGGGCAACTATTTTTTTGCCAGCATGGTCCCAATTAATTATTGTCAAATTAATCACAAGGTTAGTTTGGATGAAGAAAACCCTCTGATCTCATTCTTCCAGAAATATCAACCTAATTGTCCCCCTATCATAGCATTGAGCTGATTTTTAAATGAATCCAATGTCCTGGCCTCAACTACTGTTCCTGGTAAACTGATAGAGTCATTAATTATCTGATGGTTAAAGAAATATTTCCTGACTTGTGTCTGGAAATTGCCATGTCCTCTTTTTCTGCTGACTTAGTGCATCCGAAAATATTGTACTGGGTTTACTTTCTCAATCCCATTTAAAAAATCTGGATATTTTTAACCCTAACCCTTTTTGCCTCCAAACACAGTCAAGAATTTCCAATAAAATCTGATGAAGCACTTTGCGTTGTCCTCCCAACACGAAAGGCGCTATAAAAAAATGCAAGTTATTATTACAACTCAGTTGTCAATGTGTGATGGTGACCTCTGCAAGTTCAATAGCTTTCAAATTACATGATGTCTGCACCAATGTGTATACTTAAGCTCCTCGCTGACTTTAATCCAGAATGTGTACGCCATTTCTATCATTGTTAACTAACATAAAGGTTGTGAAAGACTTCAAGTGAAAATTAAAACAGCTTGAAGGAAAAGTAGATATCTTTTAAAAGATTTTAAAAAACACAGGGAAAGAATAAGAGTGGAAAGCACAAACGATTAATGAATAGAAAAAATAATCTGGGAATGCAAAGCGAAAATAAGGGGAAAGAATTGTAAAAGATATTGAAAGAATAAAAATGGATCCTCTCGATAATCAGAGCAGTGAAAGTACCAATAAGATTCCGTAAAGACCCCAAACCGGGAACGTTTGTTTAAAACAACCTAGGTGAATAGACAAAAAAGGTGCATACCAAGGCAGAGTAAACAAAATAAACTATGAATTAGACAAATTTGGATTATAAACCTGTAGATTGTAGAAGGAAGATAAAAACAAGTAAGGAATTCTCTCTTTTCAGGTGGAGATAAAGAATGGAGTAAAAGTAGAAGACATTACAATAAGTTTTGATTTCAACATTTAGTGGATGAGACAGACTACTTATCAAAACAAAAGAGGATAGTTCAAAGAATTAAGGGTCATATTAAAAGAGGAAAGATTATGATACACAGAGGAATGGAGGAGGTCAGCCTTTGCAAGTTCCCTGAGCTAAAAAGTGGCCAATTTCCAAGTCATCAGGTGATGTAACTTTCTGTGCAAGGCACATGCACACTAAATACTGGAAGAGGCGCTAACACCAATTCCTATGTCTTGCACATGTGTACTATGTCCAAGAAACTATTGATATCATTTCATGAAGTGCATGCAAAGCATGCAGGAAATGATGCAAACTGTATTTATTGCACATAGCGCTGGAAGTCACATCAACAATAGTCCGACAACCCAGATCATCCATTTTTTCACTCTTGGCTTATAAAGTGACTGCTGAGTTATTGGACCCAGACAAACACATTATAACAAGCTTCGCTGCATAACAGACAAGAAAAAGTAAGCTAGGGTTGCCAATCATTTGGTGTTCAATTCCCAAAATGGTAACTTGTTGAAAGCCCAGGGCTGGATGCTGTGAAATGTTTTGGAGATGTCCTAAGATAATGACAAATTAGTCACCAAAGCGGTAGAACAGAATTAATTGATCGAGGCTGGATCCTGCCAAGTTTATCCAGATTTGAGTTGGAGGAGAAAAATGAGCTCAACAGGTTGACTTTCTCATTTGAAGAAATAGCAACTGAAATAAGAAAACAAATGAATAGCTGAAAGTAGGTTTGATAGAAGTACAACTTGCGGAAAAATGTTTCCTGGTCTGAACCACCCTTTCTCGGTCAACCAAGACTCTCTGGGTCTCTTTCCTATAGTTGCACTTTACAATCTTGAACCTATGCCCTCTTGTCCTACTGCTTTTCCATAACTTATATTATTGTTGGGGGTTTACTTTCTCAATCCCATTTGGCAACTGCACACAATGACAACTTGCATTTGTAAAGAGCCCTTCACGCAGAGTAGCGTATGAGACTGAACCATGCCAGAATTTGAGAAAGGGGAGGCACGGTCGAAGAGGAATGTCTTCAGGTTTGATTTGAAGATGGGTAAGGAGAGGGAAAGGTAAAAGGGTTGAGGCCGGAAGATTCATTGGTTTGGGGCATAGTGGTTGAAGGTATGGCCGCTGATGGTGGAGCGGAGAGGTCAGAGGATGATACGCTAATTTGATAATACTTTGTCATGCACGTGTGTGCTGGTACCCATTTCCTGCAGTAAACCAGTACATCTGTTTTGCACAGAGTAAATAACATTGGGTGTTCTCTGTTGAACTTTAAGACCCTACTGCACTTTAAAGACTATCCATTCATTGGTTCAATCACGTTTGTGTTAAAATATTATCTGTGCCATTCATATCTTGGGTTTTATTCTTCCTACATCAAGTGTCCTTTTTTCTAAGAACCTGACACAGAATCACACCCCCTGTATCATAGTTTAAGTAAAGGATCGCAAAAGATAACATTTTCCTTTCTTAGTATAGCCACAAAGTTATGCCTCAGTCCAGGAAACACAAAAGCCCCCATTGCATTGCTCTAAATTCCAACCTGTTGCTATGTGAGTTGGATTGCTTCAGGATTAATAATCTGAAACCATTCTCTCCTGTTCGAAGAGTTTCCCAGACTGATATAAGTATCAATTAAATGGTGAGAAAATGTACATTTCCACTGTAAATTGTTTCTGTTTTATTCAACATTTGCAGGTTTTTGCACAATCAATGTTGAGTCTTGCTAGCTGGTGCATGCAAGGATGTCTATGTTCCTTTGTGTCTTAACAATGCTCTTCCTTTTTTTTCTGGTAAGAGTTTGTCAAAATGCAAAATCTTTTAAAGAAAGAAAATGCACTTTTCTTCTGAGCTTCTTGTATGAAAGTAACGTTGTTAATTACATATTGAGGACATCTATAATGTAGTGCTGTTAATTACAATATTAAAAGCAGCTCCATTTCCCTGTATGCACATGTTTACGCAACTTAAATAATACACGTAGGTTCACAAAGGGTTACATAAATTACAAATTATAAATCCAATAATCCCACTGGGAACTGAGTCTGCCCTAATTTAGGATTCACAATTAATTGTCACAGCAGTAAATTATTACCTAACCACTTGACTGAGATTTGAAGCCAGATACAAAATGTTGAAAGAAATTGTACAGAATTGTACAAACTCCTCTCTGGAGTTCAGCTCTCAACATGGCACTTATTTCCGCTGACGAACCATCCAAGTTACAAATATATCTATGCAAATTCTCATATGTAAATTGTGTAGCTAATGCTTTACTGTTACTTGAATTGATTGCAGATGTGCTTGTTCTTCTTATCAGGTGATTTGACATAGTTAACAGGCAACTTGCTGAGACTTATGTGGGGAATCATAAGTTGATAAATCTCAGTTGATATCTTTTTTTTAATATGCATTTATGTACCAGTAATATATAGTCTGATAGCTCATACAGCAGCCCTGGTGGACTTCCTACCAGCAAATGACAATGTTAAATTCCAGGACTGAAGATCACTAGCATGCTTGGGTCAGTTAAGACTTTTCATTTTAGCTGCCTGATGTGCTGACAAATCAATATGATCACAATTGTCTCTTGTTCTTTCTCTGGATATCAATTTGGGATATCTTTTCTTCACTTTTAACTCCCACACCTTGATCTTTCTCTGTACAATCGAAACCAAATCTTTGGCTAGTAGAATAAGAAACATGCACAGTTCAGTTTCCGTGCACCTGCTGGTCTGTTGCAGCCTGGTTGTGAGTTGACAAACCCATTACGTGGGTTCAATAAGAAAATTGGCCAATGTATAAGAACGTTCTCACAAAGTTTAAGATCGATTCAAAAAAAAATCATGCATCATAAAAACAGAAAGCAAAAACTGTGCAACCTGACTTTGAAGTCCTCTCCAGTGGCTTGAGTGTTTTCTGTCTGAAGCATAAGACGAGCATTATCAAGGATCACATCCGATACCTGCAGTATAAGACAACAGAACAGTGCTCTATTAAATGCA